AGAGATAAAATTTTGCCTTCCCAAAGTTCTGCTTTATACTGCACAAGGACTACGTTTCCTACTGCAAAGCCGTCCCGAGGAATCACTGATCCTGAGGCTTAAGCCTCCAGTTGCAGCAGATTTAATAATATATTGCCACTGTTTGATAATTCAACAACTAAATAGTTATAGCCATCTACAGGTGGCCAGTGACAAGAAGAGGAAAGAGAAAGTGTGAAAACCAAGAAACTTGATCAAATCGACCCCAGATATGTGGTTTGGGTACCACATTTATTATTTGAATCTGTAATCTTTTCAACTAGCTCCCATACAATTAAATTTTTATAACCTTTAACGTGCTGGAAGTTCTTTTTCAAGACAGTGACTTAGGTGTCAAGCAGAAATGAACATAAAACGCGAACCACAACCGTTCGTGCTTCTGATTTCCTGTTTGAACTTTTTTGAATTAAATCCTCACATTTCTGCCTATTCGGCAGCACTAGAACTTGTCTTGTTGAGAATGGTCTATTTATCTCTGCGCTCAGAAACATATTTTGATTAAACAAGTGTATGTGCCTAAGACTAACCCAAGGATCACTTTCATTCACAACCCAAGAATATTCCTAGAAAATATATCAAAAATTACATTGCTCATTTGTGTTTTGATCACCAGAAGAAATGTTAACTTTTCACTGAAAAAAGACTTGAAGTGGATATTATTTCAATTATATTTCATAATTACCTCTCTATGAATCCTTGCAAGCCTTCTTTTTAGGATCTAGAAATGAGTGATCAAATGTAGGGCTACTTGCATTAAAGAATATTCTCCAATTTTTTCCCAGTCAGGGAATCTTACAATCAAGGATTCTTACAGTCCGGGGTTCTTACAATCAGGGGTCTTACATTCAGGAATTCTTACAATCAGGGGTCTTACAATCAGAGGTTCTTACATTCAGGGGTTCTTACAATCAAGGGTTCTTACAATCAGGGCCTTACAATCAGGGGTTCTTGCAATCAGGGGTTCTTACAGTCAGACCTTACAGAATTGGACACTATATTTTAGCTATCTTAAAACTAGTTGACTGAACTATCTAAAAACTACCTATTGACTAGCTATTTCCTAAGTAGGTTCCTTGTGTAATAATTTAATCCTAATTCCTATCTCAAAGCTATCTTATCACTATCCAATAACTGGTTATTTGGAACCATGCAGATAGCTCTATCTAAATTCCATCTGAAAAGCAAGTTTGTGAAATAACTATTACATTTAGTATTAAATCGGTATTAGGTTGGGTTAAACTAGTGTTTAATGCTCTAATAAGTGAGTTTTCAGCTAGATATAAAATAGATATTAGGTAGTTGCAGCAACAGCAGTCAGATATAAGACAGATAAACTAGAAATTGGAAAACACATATCAAAATAATAGGAAACTATTCTCTGGTAGATAGCAAGTAACTACAATCAAAATAGCATTAAGCTAGAGATCGGATAGCTAAAAACTAGCAGAGAATCAGGTAGAATTATCAGCTAGTGGGAAGATAGTGTAAAACTAGGAATGAGATAGATGAAAAAAAGTAGCAATGAGATAAAACAAACTGTAATATGTAGACAGCTAGCCGATATGGAACTTGAGCCTTATGCCATGCTGATAAAACGTAAAACAGCTGTCCATGCATGGCTGCCAATGCTCAGTAGATTTAAGGGGTTATGCCTGCCATCACTTTGCCATAGTACCCTTCATGAGGCTTGCAGACACATTAAATATGAGATATTTGCATCACACACAGCCACATCCCAGAAGTCTCACAAATTTAAACTGCAAAATAGCTAGTTCTTTGATTAAAACAATTTTAATTTCTTTTCAAATAAGTCAAGTCTACAATGATTGTAATTAGAAGGCAAAGAGTGATTTTGACATTGCAAATACATATGCCATTGATTATTTGGAATGTTAATTATTCAAAAGTGGTGTCACTCAGCTGCTAGAATTTTCACCACTTGATCAGTCTGCATGGCAGCCCTTCTTTCTTTTCTTCTTTGCCTTCGCTCTGTAGCAAGGAAACAAAATACACATACCGTAAGTACTCGTGTATAAGTCGAACCCATTCATAATTCGACCCCCCATTTTTAAGTTCAAAAATCGGATTTTTCATTATTTCTAGTCAAAGAAGTAAAATTCAGACAGATAGAAATTTCCCAAAAGTTAATCTCTTATTTCTGGGTACGTACTGAAAACACGGGGAATTGAAAAACTGCAGAGCAAAATGCGGTAAAATTTCCGGGAGAGTTGAAAGGACTGACCCCCGCTCCGCGGACTACCCTAAATAATCAACCAAATTTACTTTTACGGGGGAAGAGACACAAGCCTACCTGCTCAAACTGCGCGATCAAAACAGCCGCCATTTTCTTTTCACCGACTTCCTCGAACCAGTCTTTTTTTTCATATTCGCCCCATTCTTCATCGGCCATCAGTCTAAACAGTTGTGAATGAAAGAGATCCTCGCAGTAACGTGCACTACTTGAGCAGTAGTGAAAATAAGGCCTGAAAAAAATTCAGACCTGTACGGGATTTGAACCCATGGCCGTTTAATCAGGGGTTCTTACAGTCAGGGGTCTTAAAATCAGGGTTCTTACATCAGTGTATCTTACATGACACAAATCTAGGCTACGATAGAGAAAGGATTTCCTGGGCTTAGCAGGATTTCCACGAAGATTCCGAGTCACTCGATAAGAGCTGGCATTGAAACACTTCAATCTTACAATCAGGGGTTTACATCAGTGTATCTTACATGACACATCTGTGCCCAGTTATTGCTATTGATCGTTGTTCCTTACATTACGTGTCTTACATGACAGGTCTGTGGGGTTCTTACGATCAGGGTTCTTAAAATCAGGGGTTCAAATGAACGTGTATTACATGTCGAGTCTATGCCTAGATGTTGATATTGATTGTAAAATCTTACGATCAGGGGTCCGTGTTGATCGTAAACTTTTACATCTAGTGCGTATCGTGTGCTCAGCTGTTGATATTGACCTTACAATGTCACATCCATGTTAAACCCGTGTTTTCATGTTTATGTCGATCGTAAAATCTTACATCTAGGGGTCTGCGCACAGATGTCGATATCGATCGTGAATGCTTTCGTTACATCCAAGGGTCTTAGATTCGTATCTTAGATCCAGGGGTTTTTGATTGTACCTCTGAATAGTCGCTATGTAACAATGACGAGTTATATAAGGGAGTGTTTTGTTAAAATTATACGGTAGTTTTATATAAGGGTCTGTTCCTAGCTACTGATACTGATCCCATTTTACTTTATTATACCGCAGAATCGTGTATAAAAAGGCCACTACAAAGACAAGAAGAGAAATGATACAGGAGCTCCTTTCAAATGACTCTCGAAGTAAACACTAACAAGTCGACTCTAGAAAAGAAGGCAAAAAAAAAAAAGAGGACAAAAAAAAAAGAGGACAAAAAAAAAAGAGGACAAGCACTAAGATGCTGGGCTTGTAGAAAAATACAAAATGAAGATGAAGTTACCGTCACCGTTCAAGGACTCTATGTCCTTTATGAACAGAATTTCTTTCCAGAAACAATGTTTCATTTTTGTCCGAAGCAACAATGCATAAACAAGATACCACATTAGACCGATTTAAAATCACCGGATAGTATCAGAGCTGACGTTCATTTACTGACATCACAATAGCAGCTTTCAAAGATAATGGTTTGCCAATTTGTAACTCTGTTGACTGATAATTAAATCTTGAGACCGATGTATTTGAATTTTTTGTTCATTTCTTGCAAACAAAAATATTCTTTCATAATGAAAAAAATGAACAAAATTTTAAGCAATTACAATTTGAAATTTGTTATCAGCTAATTACTTGATATCAGGTCAAAATAATAAAAGGTTCAATTTTTACGATTAAAGTTCTATTTTTGGACCCACGAAAATTTACCCGCGACCCGCGACACGCGACAATTAGACATTCTCTTAAATATTCAATAGTTACATCTTATCTACATCTACATCTACTGTTATTACGTTGGTAAAATCTGTACAGACATTACACCAACCAACTCGCGCGTTGAGTGAGAAGACTATACGAAGGATCGAAATTACATTAAGATCGATTTTTATCAAGAAATGGGCCAGGAATATTCCACAATAGTACAAATAATCGTGAAAGCTGATTGCGGAAAAGCGATTGCGTGACGCTCGGTAAGTTGTACGATGACATGTTATCAAATACCAGACGAAAAAACTCCAAAGATTCTCAGGCGGCAGTCTACATTTTGTACCTAGTCTACATTTTGTAGCCGGTCTGCAGTCTGCAGTCTGCATTTTGTACCAACAGGTATCCGTGGCACCAATACAGTTTATTTTTAGTTACATTTATTCGCACAGCAGACACAATCTACCACAAAATACCTGTGTGTGAGTTAATTCGACATTTTCGTTCTTTTCCGCGTTAATATTCTTCTTTCCTTTTGTAAAAATGTAGACATCATTTACAATTTTTCAAGTAATCCACCCACCCCCCAAAAAACTTTTTCATGCATAGAATGCCTATGTTTGTTTATTGTGAGACGTAAAGAAAATAAATAAAACTTGATTGTTTTCTCGGAGAGATTGTTAATTTGCAATTAGCTTTTTTCTATTTGATTGTGGCGTAAAAGAGTTCCCGTACGCGTTTGTGTATTTAGAATTAATTAATTATATTGAATGCGCGGCGACAGAAGCAGCTGGGTACCATCTCAAAGGTGTTTCACTCAAATAAACAACTTTCCAGCAGACTTAATGAAACCCGTTTAATATCAAAAATACCGTTGAAATTATATCAGTGTAGTAACTCAAATATTTTTCACTATAAAGTGGCGAAGAACTTAATAAGTTGAGATCACATAATAAAGCATAAAAAAGCCAACGACAAATTTCCTTCTCTACCTTTTTGTTTTGAAACCTGTAAGGGTTTTATACACATTGAAAAATTAAACACCTCAATACGAAAAAAAAAAGCTACGTATATCAACGTGCCAGGGTTCCTTCTCCTTTACCAGCCTACTTCAGTAGTGCCAGACCCAAGGCAGAGGTAACGGTTATCAGGATCACACTGGAAGAATATGAAGAGCCCGCGTTACAGTAGTCGGAGTCACAGCAGCCGACTGCGCATTTCCCGTCTTTGACCTGGTCACAAGCCTCTTTTGTTTTAGCACAGGTACTGCTACCTCCACAAGAGTTAATCACTAGAGTTACGTCGTCTTTTTTGCCCCAGAACCTTATACATTCGCCGCCTGAGCAGTCTACCGATCTGCTGGCCTTATTTGCTTCCAGTTTGCTCTTGCTACATTGCTCTTCGGTTCCGGTACAAACGTAGCACTTGAGGCTGTAAGCTGAAATAAAGGAAATTAAGAAACTAAAATTTTAATGTATTGCATTTCCGCTTAATATTCCGCATTTCCATTAATATTACCACGTACTTTATCCATATTAGGGGCTTTAGTTTTGTTGAAGAGACGTGCGGGGAAAAAAAAAGCGAGCTCCGCTTTTAAGCTTGCCTAAATCTATATATTATTCAAGCGACGAGGTATTCTTTTTGTTGAAAGGAGAGAATCGATTTGAGCAAAGTTCTTTGTATGTCACGATTTCCTCGTTCTCGAACCAAAGAGAATTCAGAAGTATTGATGGATGCGTTTTTGGTGCGGTCAAGGTTCTGCACGAACTTCATGCCTCCTATGACGAGAGGAAGCAAACATGAAAAAACAAGCAAATGTTCCTTCTCAAACGAAATAACACGGGATAAATGATACCTGGAAAGTTTCTTTTATTTGTTTCCCATTCTGCATGAACAGTGAAAATTCTAAAGAAGGCTTCGAAACGTAATTTGACCAAACAGAACAAATCTAGGCTACGATAGAGAAAGGATTTCCTGGGCTTAGCAGGATTTCCACAAAGATTCCGAGTCACTCGATAAGAGCTGGCATTGAAACACTTCAACATTATCAGAGATTGAACGAAGGTTAAGGAAAAATCGATAATTCGAGAAACGAAACCGGAATAAACTCCACACATAAACATCACAAGCAGACGGGGAGGCTGGTGCTCAGCTTAACGTTACACACAAACAACGCACACAGCTCAATCAAAGGGAAGACCAGTGGCTCGAGGGAGCAAAATCACTTCATTTAAGCTTCGACGTGGCCACCATAAACGAACTCATAGCTTGAAAGGAGCTTGAAAGCGAAAGAAGGGTATGTCGACAGGAGAGATTGCTCGTGCGCAGCAGGTGGTGTTACTGTTCTCTTATTTCACAGTTAAACTTCACAATAACAAACAGAATAAACTTACCAGTTGCAAGAACTGCACAGAAGACAAAGATGCTCAGCACAAGACCCTTCATTTTGCGTATCTCAGTGACTTTACGAACGTTGCAGCTTCCTCTGACAAAACCAGCGCCCTCCACAAACACGCTCTGTAATAGGGCGTTTATATAACGGGGCTCTACCAATAGGATTACTAGTTTAAAATAGAGCGCCAATCAGGACACTCCACATCATGTGCCTTGTTATCGGCATTAAAAGGGATGACAACACTACAAATCACTTGCAAGAATGTGGTAAAGAAATCCCGGCAGCACTAATCATCACAGAAAAGACACAGGACTAGGCCTAACTCTAAGGGATTTTACGTTTGGTCAGATATTGTGGTATCTAACATTAAACAAATTAAAATGAATGTTAAAATCCCTGTTGATTGGTGCATTGTCTATGCCTTCTTTCCGTATTTCTAAATTGTTCTAGTCAGGTATAACCCGGTCGTTATTTAACAAATAGAGAAGCCTTGACTGTGCTCTGTTCTGTTGTAAAGCACGC